AGCAGTAGCAGCAGCAGCAGGATGAGTAGTTGTAGCCGGTAGTACGGGTACCTGCAGTGCCTGTAGTAGTACCCATAGCAGCTGCAGCGCCTGTAGTGCCTGTTGTGCGTGTAGTGCCTGCACTGTGGTACATGTAGCTGTTATGCCTGTAGCAGCCTGTAGTGCCAGTGTACCTGTAGTACCTGTAATGCCTGTAGTATCTACACTGCCTGTAGGCTTGTAGTGCCTGTAGTACTACATAGTACCACTAGTAGCAGTAGCAGCAGCAGTTGTAGTAGTCGTCGCCGCAGTACTGGTATTAATTGGTTAGTACTAGTACTGGTATGCTGAACAGGGCTTTTTGCTTTGCCAGGTCGTCCTCCCGCGAGACCGGCCGTATGCCTTTCAAAGGGCTTTGGCAGAGGCGAGCAGGTACTCTTTGCTGAACTCTTCTGCTTCCTGGTCTGCAGCCCTTGCTGCTCAGGCGATGAGCAGTGCGGACGAGCCTCGCTGAAAAACTGCGCAGCCAAAAAGATCGGCTGGGGATGTGCTCCTGTCTCTCCGGCTGAAGAGAACTGAGCATTCGAGGAAATCGCGGTACATCCCGCTGCCAGGAGCTGCAAAAGGGCTTTGCCGAGCTGCGGATGTCCTTCGGTGAGGTGTCAGAGGTCTCCTGGACTTGTTTTCACAGCTTGACAAACCTTGTAGGGGGAACGGAAGGCTGACCAACGTCCTGCCCAGCAGATCCAATCTGAGCAGCTTGCCCAGACCGAGGCGATTGAAAAGGGAGTGGGAAATCGTGAATGACTCAGTTTGAAATGGACAGGCTTCACTGGTCGCACTTCGGGGCACCTTATCCTTGGAGCTTGGCGAGGTGTTCGGCTCGGACATCTCGCATGTACACAAGTCGTTCTGCAGATTTGCAGCGATGGGGCGGCTTACTCGAGGTCAGGCACATGCTGTCGGAAGAGATGGCTTCCCAGGCCCCTGGGGGCTCGCGTACGGGTGGTGCTCTTGGCGTTACCTGTGCCCTGACCTTCATCTTTGGCTCCAGGCTAAGGGGGGACGGGACGGTGGCTGGGGCGGAGTCATGTTCTGTGGCCTCCATGGCATCCCCGCTCTGTGCCGATGCCCGGCAGATGGTCTGCGCCTCATTCGCTGGGTTTGCGATGCCAAAAGAGCTTGAGAGCATCGCACATGGGGGCCCCAACACGAGAATTAGGTTCGCAGTATGTCGGAGCTTGGTCGAGTGCTTCAGTGGCAACGAATCCTGAGCATGTTGGAGTCCTTGCATGCAGGACACGGCGGCTGTGCAGTAATCGTCGTAATCGCGGGACGGTTGGGTTGCTTGAGCTTTCGGTCACGTGTGTTCGATTTCACACGGGTACAGGAAGCACTCCGAGCAACGTGGCATGCAGCACCCCGGCTGCAAATTTGGGTATGAACGAAACTTCGAAAACACATCAAGAGGGCATGCATCGTTTGATCTTTACTGCAAACTGCCCCACCCTGTTCACCAGGCATCGCCATAAATGCTTGCAACAAAGCGCTGCAGTGGCCCTCTGCAGCTGCTTTGTTCGAAGACCTTTACGGACGAGGCCTGTGATGGCACCTGCAGCTGCGTTACAATCGAAACTCGTGCATCTTTATTGCTTCGACTTTGACATGCCTGCGTGCGATGGGAGGCAATCCGGATCTATTCTGCTGGAGTGCAGCTATCAGTACTTGCGCCGCGGGGACGCTGTGGCTGGAAGCTCTGCAGATTCTCGAAGCTCTTCCAAGGTGCCTCGGGCCATACTTCAGCAGATACCAATAACACACAGACACACAAAGAGTCAGCGCTTTGTGGAAGACTTCAGAGGGCAATGACACACTCGGTTCCAAGTCTGCGCTTCGCGGCCTACGGGACCCTCAGAATTGCTGGACTTGAAGCGGTTTCGTTGAACACTTAGTTGTGACTTTTTCCTCTTAGTTATAACTTTTTAAAAAGAGTGTTTTTCGAACCAAGCTAAGCCACTAGCTTATTCTGGTGTATTAACTTTTTATGGTGTATTTCACACCAAACCACAATTTTGTGCTGTGTTCAGCACCAAACCAAATCGTCACACCAGATTCAGATAGGGTTTTCGTCTTGGGTAAAGGGTTTTCGCTGGATTAACTCCTTAGGGTTTTCGTGTTGGGCCAAAGGTTCTCGCTGGATTCACTCCTTTTCGTCTTGGGTAAAAGGTTCCTGCTGGATTGGCTCCTCAGGGTTTTCGTCTTCGGGAAAAGGTTCCTGCTGGATTCACTTCTTAGGGTTTTCGTCTTCGGTAAAAGTTTTCTGCTGGATTCACTCCTTAGGGTCTTCGTCTTGGGTAAACGGTTCTCGTTGGATTCGCTCCTTAGGGTAGTCGTTTTCGATCAAATTTCTTGCTGGATTCACTCGTCAAGATTTTTGTCGTTTCAAAGATTTCTGCTGGATTTACTCCTCAGGGTTTTCGTTTTCGGGAAAAGGTTCCTGCTGGATTCTCCTTAAAACTTTTCATCTTGTGGGTAGTGACTTTGGGTAGTGGGGGTAGGCGGATTAGGGGGGGCAGGTGGGGTAGTGGCAGTAGGCGGGGTAGGTGGGGTAGGTAGGGTAGGTAGGAAAAGAGGAAAAGCTTACATGTAAGAGAAAAAGTTGTAACTTAGCCTGCTACCAGCGGTTTCGCCCCCTGCTCTGAAAGCTCCAGCCCCAAAAGCCGGTGTCAAGAAATCTTAGGATTGGTATCTGGTCTACCCAGAGCTGAATAGGGGCAGTGGGGCAAGCTGTGCTGCAGAGGCGTGGCTTCCAGCCCGACATCGTTATCTTTGGTGGGGTGGCTGCAGCCTGCGCCGCTGGAACCAGCGTCTGGAGTCATGCGATGGCAATACTGGAGGATGCATGTGCAGCCCAACTGCAGCAACCTGACCGGCAATGCATTGCGCAACTGAAACGCAGAGTCACACCGTGCACTTTACTTCAGACTTGGGTTGGAAAAGGGTCGACGGGGTCTTTTGGTCTTAAAGGACTTGCACAGGCCATAGCTGTTTAGAGCCTGATGATTGTTCTAGCGACTGTGCGGGTTGTTTCTTCCCTGCATACCTGGCCTGACAGCAGTTAGCCACGACACTAACATCTTGCCGCCATGTTGTTTCGCTGCCTGTTGCAAACCACGGCAATACGTTGCTTAATGGAAGTTTCGATCGTCAACGGCGGGAGTTTTTTGAAAGCCGCAGCAGCGACACAGTAGCCCTTCAAGAGCCAACCCGACCAGTGCTAGCTCAGGCCAACTTCTGTACTCTGCAACTCCGTGATAACTGCCTGTGGCAGGGCCGAACGCACGAGACTCGGCCACGCTTCCCACTCAAAGGAAGGATTGCGCGAATACCGAGGTTGGGAGCTTGCCCTGTCCGTTCTCAACGAGATGCCTGCCTTGGGTGCTGCGTGCAGCGTGTTGCTTTCATGCACTGCTGTGTCGAGACATGTCGAGACTGTGCAACTGAGTTCGAGCTCTAAGGGTGACGTATGCCGCAACAATGGCGGCCTGTACGCTGGCAGGGCGCTGGCAGAGGCGGCAACGGGCAGATTTGAGACATCTGAAGTCTGAACCGGCTTTTGAGAGGTGCCTGCAGCTCGGGGAGTTGCTGACAGAAGCGAGGCTCAGAAAAAACGCCCCTGGCCCTGGAGACTAAGACTTCGGCTCTCGTTTGGGCGGACGTGTCCTGCAGTCTCGCACACTCTCGCGGCTGCGTCAAGGTCGTCGTGTACGGTTCCCTGATCGATGCATGCGAGTCCGGACACCACTGGATGCTGGCTTTGCAGCTGCTGCAAGAGATGCCAGCGCAGCAAGTGGCTCCGAGCCCAGCACTGCCGAGCACTCCGGGCATCCGCTACCGTCCATTTGACAAAGCCTTGGATCCAAACCAAGGCTCGGAACCTGGTGGTGGTGGCTTCTGCGATCGGCGCTTGTGAAAAATGCTGTCAGTGGGAGACAGCATGGTATCTCTTCCGCCTCTTGCCGGTTTCAATTGTCAGGAGCATGCTGAATGTGGTTTTCCAGCTTGCTGAGGAATGCGGATCAAACAAACTTAATCAGGATCAAAAAACTGTCGCTCCACTGCTTCCTGTCCGAAGCATTATTGTTCTTATTATTACCCTTATTTTCTCTCAGTTATTGATACAGTGACCATTGCTATTGCTAGTATTGCACTTCTTTCTGTCCCTACTAGAATTATTCTTGCTGTTCTTACCATTATGATTACTGCTACGTACCGCTAAAGGTTACTACTCCTTATTGCTACTGGCGCCATCAGTATTATTTGTATGATTACTATTATTGCTCGTATCATGATTATTACTAGTGTTATCAATACTATTCTTACGGTTACTGTTATCAGTATGAAGAAAAATAGCCACACCACACAATAATTGTAAGATTAAAAAGTAGCAATGAGAATGACACTAGCTTTAAGACCACCGAAAGTAATATAGTAATGATATCAACCATGACGAACATAATGGTAGTAAGAAAATGATAGTATTATCAATATTATTAATAAGTATCAAGATGATTATTCTCTGTTTTGTTCGTCGTTTTTTTGGTAGTGTTGTTATTTACTGTTAATGAAACTGATTAACCCTAACACAGAAACAACTGTACCGGGTAGACAGCCAATATATGAGATTCCTGCGTAGAGTTATGGGAATAAAAGCCTCTTATTACTCCCGCATCCCGCACTCGGAAGTATACAAACAAGCCAACTACCCAACACTGCCTTCCGCAACTCTCCAGTAATTATAGCCAATGTAAGACTCTAGTGAACATCTTCTCCCTGCCAAGAACTAATCCGGTACATGGGGTTGTTTTCGGACCAGCGTACAAAGATAGAATCCTGCTACAAGGCCGTAGAAGAGGAAAGCCCCACCCGTACTGGTTGGACACCTGCTCCTATAGATTCTTTCCGGATTGCTTGCCTGACCACACCGCCCCTGCAAACCATAAGCATTCAGGGTTCATGAAGATAGCACGCACGGTGCAGAGTTCTTCTTTCGAGCTGGTGCCAAAGAGCGCATTCGCACAGCGCTCACGGCCATAGCAAAAAATGAAACTGATTATGAATAGCATAGCATTAGTTTTAGTTTTCGTATTTGAATTGGCATTGGCATGAACAGTAGCATCAACATTAGTATTCGTATTAATTTTGGTACTAGATTAGTATTGTATTAGTACAAGTATTAGTATGAGTATGAGTATTAGTATTAGAGTATTAGTATTAGCATTACGGTTAATATTGTTAGCATTACCCACTACTATGATAAAATTACCAGAAAAATCAGATTATTCATACTGTTATGCCGACCAGGGCCCGGCGACCACCAAGAGACCAGTAAGAGACAATCAGGAGAGCAGTCGGAGACCACCAGAACATTGCCGAAATGCTTTCACCCAAGTACTGGTGGGATTCGGACACAGTAGAGAGCACTACGAAATCGCGTTCCACCAAGTACTGTCGGCGCGAGGACCGGCGCGTTTTATTTTCCACCAAGTACTGGCGCGTTTCGGGCGCAGGTGACGTACGCCTTGCCGCTTGCGACATCCACAAAAACAAGGTTGTCGAGAGCATCAAAACATTGGTCCATGTCGTATTATTTGCAATGAATCCTGGCCCCGGGCGTGCACGGCAGGCTAATCTTATGTAAATAGTAGGACGTCAGCGAACACTAACCGGCGCCGCGGGCATCCTGTGAAAAAAAGAATGCAAGGACCCGATGCGCCGTGTTTGCTGTCAATAATAGGACGTGCGGAGCCTCTTGTTCCTGTTTAGATTTGTATTTGATCCCTGAGGGCTCGTTTGTTGATCCTGGTTTGATCCGGCACCCGTTTCCTGAGGCTGCTGGCTTGTACCGCTTCACCCTACATTGCACCAGTCTGTGCTCTCCTGAGGCTCATTGGAGAGACCCAATGTCGTCGCTGCCTCCTCGACCATAACGGCCCTTGTGAAGGCTTCCGAAATGCTCAACTTCCCCTCACATACTTGAGTTACTTGACCACGCCTTGTTGCAGGGAGTTCGCTGGGAAATGGCGCTGGCATTGTGTGGTGAGGCGCAGTGTGTCCTAGTGAGGTCCTAGTGCACCGACCTGAGACGACGTCCTGAGTCCTCCGATCAGGAGTAAATCATGTATGGTGGAGTAGCTGTCCATGTTGACAGCCTCAAATGATGCTTCTGTTGTTCACAGATTGCCGTCCGTAGCTAAAGCCGACGAAGTGTGCCCGCCTAGTAATTAAGTCACGAAACCATGATGCGGCAGAAAACTCGGTAAGCACCGATTCTCGAGCACAGCGTGGCCACCACCTCTATTTGGGTCTTAACTTTGCATTGAACGTGTTTCCCACAACGGCGATCTCAGCCACGGAGCAGGTTCGAGATCGCAGCATTGGGATGAACGTCATCGCCTGCAGTGCTGCAATCAGCAGGGAACTCGGGTAGCATCGGTCGTCAGAGAACGTTTTCCACACCGGGGCACATTGGCACTTTTTTCTGAGGTGCTTGCGAGAAGGGAAAGGACTGGGAGTCGGCCGTAGCTCTCCTGGAAGACATGGAGACCTCCAAGCTGCAGGCCTTTGCCCCTGCCCCTCCCCACTGCAGCGCAGCTTCAGGAGGCTAGCGGATGAAAAGTCTCTTCGCGTCACTCCCGCACGCTCGTGCAGGCCAACATCGTGGCCTATAGTGCCGTCATCAGCGCGTGCGAGAAGTGCAAGCATTGGGAGCTTGCCTTGGAGCTTTTCGACGAAGTTCTCCGGCCGCTTCGCTTCAACTTCAAGCCGCAACGAAGCAGACAGTCTCAGCAGCAAACACACGCGTGTCGCGCGCATCGCACGTCCCGACTGTGACCACAATCCACATGATTAAGGATCAGCCTCTTGCCGGACGTCGTCGTGGCTTGTCCAAACTTCAGGGTGAGACTATACTATGCGGCATCACAGCCGGCACCGGAGCCAAGACGTCACAGTCAAGGACAGTCGTGGAACATTTGCTACGACTTCTTAACTTGAAAGGCCCGCAGGCTATATGGCATGCTTTGCTTAGGTGTGCAGCGCAGCTCTTAATGCCGCGGCATGCTCTGAGCGCTGGGATTTGGCGGCTGGCATCATGCAGAGGGCTCAGTGTGAAATGGTTGCAGCTTGAAGCAGATGTGCTGAACAAGTCCACCAAGTCAACCATTGACTGTATTTCAAGGTCCACCGTCCAGGAAGGTAGCATTCAGCCCAACACTGTACTGTACAACTCCGCCATCAGTGTCGCAGAAAAGGCAGGGGACTGCATGCCACTGCATGCCTAACTCCCCATTCTCAGAGAAGCAACTTGGCAGGCGAATGCCTGGGAAGTCGCCATCCAGCTGATGAAGGCAGGGTAAGCAGACAGCCAAATTCCCATGCATACCCTTTTTTCGGAGCTAAAGGATCTGCGCGTTGCTGGCCTCCAGCCCAATGCCATCAGCTTCAGTGCAGCCATCCTGGCCTGCAGTGAGAGTCAGCAGTGGCTCAGCGCCCTCCGGCTCCTGACTGAGGCTTGGCTTTGCACTTCCATGGATCGCGAGATGGGTTTGTGTTCGTAGGTTCTGCATTTCCTTGGAAATCCGACATCTGCTTGTGACTTGGACGGTACGAAATACAGTTGTTGCCGCAAGAAGTTTCGCCACGGGCTGCTTGGAGGCTGCAGGTGGGTGAAGCGCAGAGAGCATTTTCCGAATAGTTTACGGAATCCGGAATCCATGAAGTGATGTTGCCCACTGCAGACCCCCAAACCCAATAGGGGCAAGTGAATCTGAATCACCGAAAGCTCTCGTTAAAGCGACTTGTAAGAAGGGTGACGCGGACAGTAGGACTTCCCTAGGTGCGAGTGCGACTTTTTTCGGGAGGGCAGAACAAATGTAGTGGTGGGAGAATGCCCAGCTTGCTCCCAGATCTGCCGACCGCTTGGATTGCCACATGTCTTGTGACACCATGCACCAGCTGTCCGAACTGTTCAGAGAACTGATCCCTACAAGCCTGGTGGAACAACCCAAACTCCGGTGCCGTCCAATTTTTTTGACTTTCATGTCAGCGGCTTGCCGGCGGGTCCCTTTGTTTCACACACACACACTCTCTCTCTGTCTCTCTCTCTCTCTCTCTCTCGCTTGCTTTCTTGCTTGCTTACTTTACTTGTGTGCAATTTGATATCGACAGGGCACCCTCAACCTTCTGCCGTTCACTGAGCTCGCCAGCCTCAAAGTAAACTTATCTTTATGATCTTGTTGGAAAGCTGTGGCAGGAAGAAGGAGCAAGCCTCGTTCCGAACCTGGTGACATTTGGTGCAGCCATTGCATCGTGTGAGACCTTGCAGCAATACTTCCCCAACTTCATGCCCAGGATGTCCTCAAAACTGAAGGGCCACTTCAGGTTAATGGTCTGAGAGTTGGAAGTTGAAGTTCTGAGGGCTGCCAGCGTTGGCAGGCTTGGAGGGGCTGAGCTCCACATAACTGACCAGATTCAATCTTTGAGCATCGGCAAAAGCAGTAGCCCTGCCTGGGTCACAGAAAGAGTCGGGCGCTGTCTTGTGCAAGGAGCTCGCTTTGCAACAGCAACATGTCCCAGCGCTTCTGACACCTGGCTATCACACAGACTGGTGCAGTATGCGTTCTCTCGAGCTGTTCGTCTGAGCTGCGACAACCCGATGCTGCTGTTCTTCTCTTCGTCAAGACTTAGACCTGAGGAGAAGTCTTGAAGCCACGACCCTGCAACAGCTGTGAGCCCCTCCGAGCGCCTGTGAGACGTCGTAGGAGCCCAGCGAATTCATGCAAGCACTTGCGTGGCATCTGCCGACAATTTTGTACGTGTAGCCCCACCTGTCGCTACAACAGACAGCGCACACTAGCAGCCGGCTAGTGTGCAAATTGGTCTTCAAGGCCTTGTCGTGGATGCCACTCGAGAGGGTAGCACAAGAATCAAGAATCAAACAGCGCAACTCCTCGGTGCATGTGGAAGTCTGCATGGAAGAGATGGTCGATCAGCATCGATGACACGAAACATTGCTCGGATTTGCTCGGATTCCTGCGGATCCGGCCACTGCCATTGTGGCCTTTGCTGAGCTGTGAGGCGCGAGACTTCTCAGAGCAGCTGGCGCAGGCTGCGTCAAGCAAGTTTCAGCGTTGCCGGATGTCGCACTTCGTGCTTGCAAGCAGATCAAGCGAGCGATGCTGACATGTCCACTGCTGGCTGCAGGGCAGAAGTAGCGCCGTGGCTGAGATTGAGACCGCCCACTCCCCGGGCACTTATTGCTTGAGAGTCCGGCCCGGCTTGGTAGGAAGGATAGCGATGCCAAAGTGAAATTTAACAACCAGACAGCTTCCGAAAACTGTCCACAGGAATGGGAAATTGGGAAATGCAAGCGTCCATGCCAATTATCAAGTTCTGGAATCTTATTGCTCTTGACGTCAGCACGCATGTAGGAAGCAAGTCATGTGAGTCCGGCAGCTCCGATGCGACTTGTGTGCTACCGGCTCACTGGAGAGTCTGGAGAGGTCAGGGCCCAGCTGATCGAGACCGTCGAGGCGATGCACATGGCACTTTGCCCGCTTGCCTTCGCAGAATTTCGAGCGTAGGCACGCAGACCGCGCGCAGTTGGCTCTCCGTTTTTTGCGAGTCACGACAATGAGTCGAATCCACAGGGGCTCTAAGCTATAGCATGTGATGTCAAAGAGTCCAGCAGGACAGCATCGAGGTGCGCAGGCAGCTGCTTGAGCTATGTTCCAGCCTGAGTGTTACAATACAATGCTCGTATAATCTGATCTAATGTAAGTAAATATATACACAGATGTGGTTTGAATGAACATGCTCATATTTATACTGAATCAGTACAGAAAGGCTATTGAGACAACAAAATCTAAGTATAAATGTTACATGACTAACATAAAAAGCATGTTATGACATCATGTAAAAGGTCCGACAGGGACAGACTGAGACATCCGAACTATCCGACTTAGCTCAGAGCAGCCACATGAGGCCGCAGCCACACGCAACCGCGGGCAGAGGGCCCGGAGCACGGCCGCGACAAGTCATCGAATACGATTGAGTAGGATGTTGAATGTTGAAGGAGTATGGGGGATGCTTTTTCTGAGATTCGACATGCTGCCAGTGCTCGCCAGCAACGAAAGGTCCTGCAGTTGGATGTAGGCATTCTCGAATGGCCTTTGGCCAGGCGAACCCATCACCGCTTCGAGCTTCTACCTGGTGCCAGAGGTACACATAGCCTGGTCTGTAACCTGTTGTTTGGCACCAAGCGGGGAGGGGACCGTGACGGACTAGGATATTGGGGCACTTAGGCACGAGCTGTCGACGGCAGATTCCCTGGTCGGCAGGCACAGCAGCACCTGCCGTGGACAGAAGCCACAGAGTGGGAGGCGGCGGAGGCCCAAGTGGTTAAAGTTCTGCAAGGGTGACATCTGAAGACCCTTCATGACTGCCAGTGCACCATGCATGGACGCCTTTCATCATTGGCAGCCGAGGCTCACTTGAAGACGCTGTGGTCGCGGTGTGAAGGACTGGCAGAAGAAGCGCTAGCCTGAAGCGAGTTGGGTCAGCAGAGATGGCTTTGCAAGATTTGAGGGTTGAAAGAGACGTGAAACTCATGATGTTTTTTCTTACAACCCCTTGCAATCTCTTGCACATCATTGGCCTTTACACTTGAGGTGCGTCGGGTCGCCGACCGCCAGACTGCTGCGGAGCAGATGCTCGGATGCACGGAAAGCATCGGACGCCTTTGGACCGCACCAAACTCAGGAGCGCTTCGCGCGGGCTTGCGACAATGCAGCAGGCAGTCGACAGCTCAATACGGTCCGGAGTTCAACATTGAGCGTACAAAAATGTAAAGCTCTTGCAAACGAAGGTGGAAGGGTTGTCCATTCGCTTGGGGGAGATGTTTGTGCTGCGCGACTCCACCAACCTCGGGCAGAGGCTGTCAGCCGAGCCCGGTCTGTCAGTGTCAGCTGCCTTTGCACGGCAAGGCCCACATTTGCCGGGAATCTAAGCTGGGCAAATTACAGCTCCTTGAGCAGGTGAGCCTGGGCCGGGAGCACCGAGGAAAAAAGAACACCACATTGCTCCCTGTCACAAAGCGGGACGCTGTGTACTTCGGGTTTCAACAGCACGGTGCGCAGCCCCACAAGCTGTTTCCAGCTCCAGTTTCAAGTATACCACTCGAACCAGCAGCTCTCAAGCGTCATGTTCGACTGCACAGCTGTCACTGCAATGCTGCGATGTCAATGCTTGTAGACGGTGGCAGGTTGGCACTTCCGGCTCAGACATGTGCAGTCTGCGGGCGAGCCACGAGGGGTTTGGACGTATCAGTCGTAAGAACCCTGATCCCATTCCAGCATCGCGCCATGTATCGTTTATTGGCGCTGCTTTGAGCAGGCCGGGTGGGACGCGTAGCGGGAACGAGTTTTCAGCGCACTGCCTAATTCCATCATCGAGATGAACTTAGGCATTGATGGGAGTTTGATCCTGGCATGCAAGTCGGGGGTTCAGCAAGCTTTCTGGCATATTCTTACAACAGGCCACCCTGGCCACTAACATGCAAAGGCGAAGTGTTTTCGTGTATGTCTTTGGCCGAAGGCTGGTGTTTGACATGAAACTGGAAAAGAGATGTCAATGTGGCGATGGCTCGTGTCATGCCTCCCGGCCACTTAGCTGAAGATCATCCTCCAGTTTGGACAGGTTGAACATCCGCCAGAGCCGGATGTCGATACAGCGGCTTGAATTGAGCCTAGGTGTTCTACCAATCTGGACGGGCGCTCCGCTTCTCACCTAACATGCCCTCGATGTTTTTTTCCAAAGGATTGAGGCAAAGCCTGTGTTTGGTGAGCCACGAGTTTCTGGCTTTGACACCAGAAACCACGAGACGCCTGCATCATCCGAGGCCAAGTGCACTTCTACACCTTTTCGGATACGGACGGGAGCTTTGCTTGTTGATCGAACACCTGACATTGACATGTTGCGGTCAGTCTGGCTCCACCATGCTAGTTTGAAAGCAGCAGCAGCAGACAGGAGGTCTTCCCTGTCAGGGCATCGAAACCAGTAGCTTGCCCTGTGCAGCGTGCAAGTCTTATCCGAACTTCCTGAACTGGTTGTCTGAGATCCCACATCCCGGCCTGTGCGTCTTGGCGGAAGCACGGGACTCAGAAGAAGATGGTAGGACTAGTGACTAGTGACGAGTCGAAAGGGCATGAGGTTTTCCTCAGACAGGATCGAAGTTGCCTGTGCTCTCAAGGCAGCTTCCGAGCTGGGCGGGGTCCTCCGCGTCATGGGCCTCAGCAAGAGGCCAGATGCGCTCTGCGAAGAGCGCCCGTAAGGTCTGCATTTAGGTCTGGATGTAGCACCTGCTTGCTTTCCAGTGGTGTAATTGGTGTACAGAGCGCCTGCAGGCCTGGATACATCTTGATCCACAGCCACTCCCCCACTTTGAAGTGACCTGGCAAGCACAAGCAATTGCATAATTGCATGCCTGGTGACATCCGTGACCATCTGTGATGAGAGCGTTCATTTACCATGAGAACATAGCTGTGGCAGCGCACCACTTTTGTTTCCTCGCATGCCTTTGTAAACGAAGGTTCCTCATGCTGCAGGAGGCGAAGCTGGATATCGGAAATCTTGATGCGACACTCGGCATGCTGACACGTATGTTGCATCATGTCGCATCCACATCTACTCTGGCAGTGATTTTGTCCGGTTCGCTTCTCTGGGTGCTTGCCGAACTGTGCCTGCAGACCTGTCCAGGTTTTGGAGTACGAGGTCAGCAAGAGGCGCATTGCCTCCGATGACCTCGCCACTCGGATCGATGCTGGCTTTCACCGGCGTGCAAAGCAGAAGGGCTTCGTGCTTCACTCAAGTGCTGTGTTGGTAGCACTGTGGCCTAAGATTCGTCCTGATCGTAAATAGTCCTTGCACGAGATGACGCTGGACTGCACATGCACGCGAAAGCAGCTCTTTTGAGGTTATCTTTGCGGATGGCCATGACGTGTTGCTGCAGGCCTGGAGGGCAAGGTGCCCCTGTCATTGTCAACTGGGGCAGCTACGCCAAACTCCCAGAATCCTGAGAAAACTTGATGGCCAGCAGCCATTGGCTGACATTGTGGCAGCCTACAGCCGCTGGCCGGGTTCGCCCTGCCCTGAGAACGTGCGAGTGAGCGGTGATGCAATGTCAGCTAGCGATCTCAGCGGCTTTACATGGTTCCTTAGCTGGACGGCTCCTGCAGGGGGCTCAATGGCGGCACAAATGCCCAGCCAACTGAAATGACATCCAAATTCGCAGAAATCTTTAAAGCTTACCTGGAGAGGCCTAGTAGGGTGGATCACCCGCGTTTTCCGTGCTATGTTTGCGGACCATGCTGGAAAAGCATGGCAGGGCCGATGATTTCGCATGTACTGGTAGCATGCGTTAACATGGCGTCCCCCGGACTGATGATATGTGAGGAAATGCCCCCCCCCCCTCCCCCCCCCAAAAAAAAAACTAAAAAAAGAAGTTTCTGGGTGAAAAAATTTGCTCTATCACACTTTGAACATGGATGCACTGGCCAATTGGCAGCATGGACTTTATCTATGCACTGGCCAATGGACGGGTCGGTAGAATGGGCGCTATCAGGGTCTGGGCAGGGATGCACTGGCCAATGGACGGGTTCTTAGCATGGACGTTATCATGGTTCGGGCATGGTTGCACTAGCCAATGGATGGGTTGGTAGCACGGACGCTATCATTGTTTGGGCATGGATGCACTGGCCCATGGATGGGATTGTAGCATGGAAATTATCATGGTTCGGGCATGGTCGCATTAGCCAATGGATGGCTTGGTAGCATGGACGCTATCATGGTTTGGGCATGTATGCACTGGCCCATGGATGGGTTGGCAGCATGGACGGTATCATGGTTTGCGCATGGATGCACTGGCCAATGGATGGGTTGGCAGCATGGATGTTATCATGGTTTGGGCATGGTTGCACTGGCCAATGGATGGGTTGGTCGCATGGACGCTAGCATGCTTGGGCATGGATGCACTGGCCCATGGATGGGATTGTAGCATGGACGTTATCATGGTTCGGGCATGGTTGCACTAGCCAATGAATGGGTTGGTAGTAAGGGCGTGTTCATGGTTCGGGCATGGTTGTATTGGCCAATGGATGGGGTGGTAGCACGGACGCTATCATTGTTTGGGCATGGATGCACTGGCCCATGGATGGGATGGTAGCATGGACGTTATCATGGTGCGGGCATGGTTGCATTGGCCAATGGATGGGTTGGTAGCACGGACGCTATCATTGTTTGGGCATGGATGCACTGGCCCATGGATGGGATTGTAGCATGGAAATTATCATGGTTCGGGCATGGTTGCATTGGCCAATGGATGGGTTGGTAGCATGGACGCTACCATGGTTTGGGCATGTATGCACTGGCCCATGGATGGGTTGGCAGCATGGACGGTATCATGGTTTGCGCATGGATGCACTGGCCAATGGATGGGTTGGCAGCATGGATGTTATCATGGTTTGGGCATGGTTGCACTGGCCAGTGGATGGGTTGGTCGCATGGACGCTAGCATGTTTGGGCATGGATGGACTGTCCAAACCATGATTAGACCTGAGCGACAGGCAAAGTGCAGCAAACGGGCGCGGTCGACCCTACGAGTAAGAAAAGTTGAAGTAATGCCCACACCTGTTGCATCGTCTACAGCAGTCTCCACAGAAGGGGCCGGCTGTAGATGGGCCAGTTGCGCCAACTGTTGGCATGAGTGGGTCCGCTGCCGCGCGGATTGGGACCGGACCGGCTCTGTGCAACAAATGCTGCATGCGCAGGTTTCGGGTCGGGACAAAGAAGGGGATCGTGCATGTAAACTCAGTTTCGAGGGAGTGAGGTAGAAGGACATCCACCCAAAATGCATCCTCACCACTTCACGGAAAAGTCAACACCGAAGCTTGCCAGAGCTGGTTCCACGGGGTATCGCCAACTTTTGGCTGTTGACATACACAACATGCAGGAAGTGGAGAGAGAATAACCCGGAGTATTCGGAGCGCCACATATTCGGAAAAGAAAAGCATGCTGTTGAGGAAACCAAGCAGCAGGACCAAAGACGGAAAACCATCTGTGGCCGGCCAACGGCACGCTAACCAAACATATTGCAGAGCATCCCCGATGAGTCATACTGCAGGTCTCTCAGATGGCAAGGGAGGTGCGCAATGGCATGTCACAGGGCACAAGAACCGTGTTCAAGGCAAGAGCCCCGGCCGTTAAACAAGTTCAGGCCCGAGCCACACACCGCAGTCCCAAACAAGAGCCGAGAATCTTCGGGCCGTGAAAGTGTGAGTCTTTCTGATTCCCAAAGCACTTGGGCAAGCGGGAAGCGCAGGCCATACCTTATCTCTGGCGAGCGGAACTGCTGGCCCTGGCCGCCGTCTAAGCTTCAAGGGATGGGAACTCCTGAATGTCACGGGAGTCTTCCTCCTGCAAGCACTGTAGGTTTCACCGTTTCAGGTTATGTTTCTTGATCGTCCAGGCTAGGACGCAGGACACACGGTTTGTGTCTCCTTACTTGTTGCTGCGCACTGTTGCGGGGGGAGTGCGTCGTCTTTTCGGTGGTTGCGCCCCGGCGTTTCAAATCCAAGGCAAGTCGCTTCATACTTCTTACTACCCTTCCACTCGAGTGAGAGAACCTGGATGCTACAACGGTACATTATTGTTTCTCTTACAAGTAGGAGCATGTTGTTCATAAGCTGAAATGTGCAAGTTTAAGTGCGCGAGAACGTGAGGCCGCACACAGATCCCTCTCATGGAGCTTGGGATTTGACAGATCGGGCTGCTCAGCTGGCGTTAACGGTAGTTTTAAGTCACATAAAGCAGTTCTGGTGCAGTTGTTGTGATCAGTGGCCATTGACTGAAAGATCTTCGCTGTCGTAGCCGCAGTGCCTTGCTGCTGACAGAAGCCGTCGTAAAGTGCGACATTGAACTGACGAAGTGCTCTGGCGCAGCCCGCAGATGCAGGCCAGCTTCGGAAATGTCTCGTGGACCATCAACCGCTGGATCAAGCCGCACACTTTGACCGCCACAGGAGTTCTCAAGGTCACTGGACTAGTCAGCACGATGTACTCCTGGGCCCACCCGTGGGAAACCTCAGGTTTGCGCCACAGGACTTCTGTCGGATGATCAGGGCTGACGGCCCTTACCCGTCGGTGCCTGAATGCATCGAGGTCAAATAGATCAATTCTAGGACTGGCATCTCGACCAATGGAAATGCCGCAGTGCTGCTGTCTGAGGTTTCCCAACATAGGCCTTTCCATGGGACCAGTGTCGAGAGTCATCGAGGTGCTGCGCAGGAGGGAGCTTCCACACCACCGCCAGAGCTATACACTGTCCCTACTTGACCCATCTGCCAAAGCGACATGTTCCGCTGCAAGGAACAACAAGATCGTTCTGGAGGAAGATGTAAATGATCAAGGATCGTTTCTCTGCTGGGCCTGCTATTTGCATGTTGCACAGTCCGAATCGTGTGAAGCCGGTGGCACCTGTCAGGCGCCATGTGGCTGGTCATCATGCGACATGCGCTCGAGCTGAACATTCAGATTGATCAACATGCTGAGGCCGCCGGGGGCACTGCATTGCTCTTGTGTCCACTAGTTTTGTGAGGGGCATGTTCCGGAATGACTGGCATGCATCAAATCTAATTAAAATACGAAAAGAATACGAGAAAAATACGAGAGGAAATACGAGCGGCAATCCAGCAGCAGGGGACAATACGAGAAAAATACGAGAAAAAAGTACGAGAATAATACAGGACGGCCGACTGCCCTCTCGAGCTCGCAGCAAAAATACGAGAAAAATTACGAGAGCTCCTCGCCCTCTCGTTTTTCTTCGAGCTCTCGTATTTTTCCCGTATTTGTCTCGTATTTTTGCCGGGGCGGGCCCGCAGCAAAAATACG